AAAAAACAAACTTATCATCATTTTTCTTCTTATTACAGCGTGATGTCACTTTAATTCCAATTGTAAGAGAACGTTTACGTGTACAATGTGCTAAATGTGGTATTATTAAAAAGATTGTTGTACATGATGTAAGTGTGTTACTTGATTGATTAAAACAAACCAAAAAATAATATGTGTCGTTTTTTATTGGTATGATTTGATTTTTAGTCATCTATGATTGCCTTCACTATGAACTTTCTCAAACACGCTACTGAAATAAACAAGTTTGTAACGGTAGGGGGGGGGGAATAGATCTCATTTGTTGATCATACCAATTAGTTTCGTAAAATAAATTTCCCAATTCTGTTGTGGACGTTAGATCCCTAGAGCTCATTTAATAAAGGTCCTAATTTTGGATTTTATGTTTTTGAGTATAGACTGATCAGTTGACGTGTTGAGATTACATTTCCCACCCGGAAATGTCCTTGACTGTTATTGGGTTGACGTATTTTATTTTAGTACGCTATTTTTGTGGCTCTCCGAAGGACGTTTCTATCATGTATAAATAAACTCGATTTATACACTTTCTACTTCATATCAAGGCTTCTCCCTGTACTTAGTGGAGCCTTGAGACACTTGGATTAGAGTAGTCTATTGTGTCACTGGATCGATCATTTATCTTTGCTCTCGTTTACTGACTAAGATGAACTCGTAATAGTTTCAAGTAAATATATCTATCATTTGACGAGCATAACAAATTCTTTAATAAAAATTGAAATCTAATTAATGCTTAGACGTTTTTATCGCCATGGCCTACGTCTGTGATAATCAGTTCTCACTCAGACAGTAAGTAGTAGTAGTCTCTCGTAGTATCATCTTTGTAGGAGTTTTGTAGAGTTTTTTTTAATCGGGCCCGGGGTGGAGTTGGCGGTGCTGGGGACGCTGCGGGGAGGTGAGGCGAAGGCGGTGCACGACAGCCTGGACGGTGCCACCGAGGAGACGGCGTGGGAGACGGTCACCGGGCGGCTGATAATGGAGTTCCGGTTGGCGCGGCTGTCGGCCGATGGTGACCTGTCGGTGCTTGCTGTGGAGCTCACCGGATTGCGCCGTGAGGAGTGGGCGGGGCACATTTTTTGGCGTCGCAATTTATTGAGAGTGTGCCTGACGCTGTGTCCCAGCAGCGGGAACTAGTAAACGCTACACGTTGGATAGATGCCGTACCCATTCCAAACCAGCGGGCAAGAACAATGACCGAAGTGGTAATCCGGCATATTTTAGCGTGTCACGGAATACAGAAGGTGATATTAACTGACCAGGGTCCCTGTTTTGAAAGTGACGACAGCTTATTAAAAGGGGGGACGAGTGTGGTGCGAGCTACTTATAAGTAGTATGTGACGTGAGTGTCAACGTAATGTCTGGCAGCAGAAGATGAGGGAAGATCAAGAAAGGAAGAGTTAGAACACAATGGAATTTGTATGAAACGCATGAATAATGATAATGGATTGATGTTTTGCAACAGGAATAGTTCAGTTCGATATGATGAACTGATATTTTGCAAATGAACGATTTACGATATGGTTTTCCGATTTTACTGAGTAACTCTGTAATTTTCGTTGAATACAGTGCGGTTGCCCCACCTGTGTTCTCGTTTACTATATTTTTTAGTTGAAGGTGTTATTGTTTCGTCATATGACGATAAACTGGGATTTGGTTGGCTAATGTTGTGTGTTGTAGCAGAGAATCTTGCCTTTCCGTTTATGTAGTATGTTGAAGACCTGCTGCTGCTACACCACAGGCTACCCGATTTGTGTATACTACTTATCGTTTTCTTTACTGCCCGGTATTATTTGTTCCTTGAACTGATTGAAAATACATTTTCCTGTGTTGTATAGAGCAGTATGGTAAAGGGAGATTTGACAGAGTTTGGTGATGAGTATTTTTTTGCAGTGATTATGAATAATATAATTGTGGATAGATGTTTAAAATGTTACAAACTCTTGGCAAGTGTTGTTATCTTATCAGATACTCACTATCCACTTGATTCACCTCTTTCTTCTTGTGCATCTCCTGGCGTAAAAGACGCCGACACTTTTAGAATTGATGCATGTAAGTAAAAAGTATGAAGAGTGTAGACTACTAGCCTTGAGAATTATCAGTCAGTCAGTCAGATGCAACGTAGAACTTTGTACGTAAGTACATCAGTTCATGTCGCCATACCACATCAGCACTGAGACGCCATTGTCAATTCAAATCCAATAGTAGAAGAGGTAGTAAAGCTATTAGGAGTAATCGGAGAGGTTAGGATTAGAAGATATTATTCAAGAAGTATGATTAAATGAGAAAAGTTTAGAAAGACTGACTGACTGACAACGTAGAACTTCGTACATGCGTACATCAATTCACGTTACCATACCGCCTTAGCACACAGTGACGCAACTGTCAGTTCAAGTCCCAAAGTAGTAGAGATAGTAAAAGAATTAGCGGTATTTAGGGATCGAAGAAGTATAGTCCAGTGAGATAGATTGTTATTATGATTATTTTCAGTTGAATAAACTTGTTGAACTACATTGTGCTGAGAATTCCTTGACAGTTGCGTCTCTGTGCTGATAGGGCATGGTAACCTGAACTGATTTACTTTACGTGTGAAGTTCTGCGTTGTATCTGTCTTTACTAAACACAATTACACACACTATACACAATTACTCTACTGAATTACCTTTTGTATTACATTTTTTTCACTTTCTTTCACTCAACAATTAAGGCTCATCCAGACGGTGTTGTCAGTGTCACATTTTCTACACCAGAAGAAGCAGATACTGGAATTAAATTTCTATCCAAAGCGTTATTTGTTGATTATCCTGGTACAGGTGGAGCTAGACAGCTGGAAGCAGAACGTTGGGATGGTAAAACCAACTATACTGTATGTGAATCTAAAGATAAAGAAGCTAGCCGACTACAAAGTTGGGATGAATATCTTGGCGGTGATGATAGTTCTTCATCAGATGAAGGGACGAATACACAAACTAATCATAGTAATAATAATAATGATGAGAATAACATTGTCAATGATGACAGCCGTGGAGTGAGCACGACTACAACTACTACTACTACTAGGAATTCACGAAAATCGGAACTGGCATTCGATGTACCTTCCGATTATTGGGAACATTTAAGTGAAGAAAGTCAATCCAGTGGTGTAGATACAGATGAGAATGATGGTAGTGGAGCTGAGACATCTTGATTTACATTCATTATATATATATTCCCACCACACTACATTTCTATTTATTATTTACTGTACAAATTACCTCTTCTGTATAAAAAAAAACTATTGATACAAATGGTAGTTTGCTTATTTCTGTGTATGTCGCGTCTGTCTGTCTGTACAAAGTAGGTTTCCATTTAGTTTCAAGACATTGCGTCTGTCATGACTTGCACACGCTCATCGTTATTATCAACTTGTTGAAGTCACGAATTATGGGTATGAGGGCGGTTGTCACTCACTTCCTGGCTGCCCAAATCGTGGAAGGTTGTTGCTTCAGGGACCTGAGAAGGAAGGTAGATTAGTGTTGGTGCGTGACTGCAGAGCCCAGGGGACAACTGCTTCAGGCCGGTCACACACGGTCTTTTGATGAAAGGTTTTTTGAGAATTAGCTCCGCTCTTAAAAGTCCTTAGTGGGCACCCTTACCGTAGGAGACGGAAATCCTTGAGGTAGGGTTAGGTGTGACATTTTTAGGGTCGACCTTTTCTAAACCTTCCTTCCTTGTGACAAGGCAGCATCGCTGCAGATGCTGGTTGTCGGAGGGAAACACCTGACTGCTGTCACACCTCTCTGCAGTCAACAGTACGACTTCGCCCTCAGACATGCTTTTATTCTCATCGTTCTCCAATCGACCTACCTGGCATGGTAGAACCTTCAGGAACATATGTTCTACTAGCCAGTATAGCTCGGTTGGGTCATGACGATAGGCAAGACCAACCGCCATGTTAAGGTAGCAGCAGCGGTCGGGAAAGTCACGAATTAGAAAATCTCATTAGGAGTACTTCTATTCTCTTTTTGCAGCTTAGTGTTATGAGGTACTTCATCAATTCTACACCTGATTTGCCCCGTTAATCTTCGGTTGATGCAAGCTAAGCATAAGTAACAAGTCCGTAATAAATTACTTATAACTTCAGAAAGGTACAACACACAACAACAGTATGTATTGTAGGAAAAGCTTATAAGCAAGTACATAGGAAAACATATTGACATAGGTGGTTTAGTGAATGAATAAAGAACAAAATTATCAGCAAGTTTAGTCAGTCAATTATACGCAACGCAAAATCTGGTATATGTATACATCAATTTAAGAAGAGATGAAATTGTTAGGGGAAATCTCAGAAGTAGTAGAAGTGCTAATCGTAATAGAAAAGATTAAGGATTGACGATATAATTGAAGAAAGTATAGAATAATAGAGTAGGTCCACGGAAAAATAGCGTACGCACCGGTGCCAATGAGAACGATTCTAAATCATCTCATTCAATCTCAAACCAACTAGTCTCGGTGTACTAAGGTAACTCAGTCCAACTGTCAATCACTCAATAGACTGATGTCATGTCAAGGTTTGGCTGCTCCTGTCTTTCAGTCTATTCCTACATAAGTGGTAGTCGGGCAAATGTAACACACAAGCACCAAACATCTCAATTGATGAAGACGTCCTGCCTCATCAGTCGATTTACGATTTCAGGTAGAAACTGAAAGTCCAACTTTTCCAATAGTCGTCCTATTATTGTAACAGCTTTAATGCAATTTTAAAGCATCTAATCTTATACAAGTCTGGCACAGACGAACATACACGTAATTGATGAGTTACTGGTGTATGCCGCCGAATGAGTGAAATAAATTACTGTCGATAATCTTTTTCATGTAGCTGTGTTAATTTGATTACAAACTTATACCTCTATATGAACTTTACCGTTAAATCTTGATCTAAGCAGTAGGTAAGTGATAGATTAGACCTTGTTTTCAGTGAGCTATACTTTTTAAATTCGGATATTGAGTAATTTAGCTGCAATGTAATTTTATATAGAAACAATCACTGTCAACAAGACGATTATCTGCACGTACTTCGAATGAAATTTGACTGATTGTAACCGTTTAAAAATTGCTCAAATCTAAGTAGTTAACTAACCAACTATCAAGCGCGCATTTAGACTTTTGGACAGATTGACTACGAATCGACAATTGAGTAGTAGGAAGCTTAGGGAATACAATCCCAGTATATCTACACTATTATTATTATTTACGATCATCGAAGTGAAACTTTATTCATCATGATCGTAGCATTTGACACATATACTGAGTCACATAGTAAGTAATTCGATCTTGTGAATTGTTATCAGTTGACTAGAATGCCTACTACCACTGCCAATCATTACCGTCTAAAGACTTGATTAGAAGCGACTCAAAAATTCATTTTTAAGTTATGTGTGCTGATGATTATAATCTGGACGAAGTTAATGGAAACTTACTTAAGTCTGTTTTACCCTTTGTGGAGCATAGGCTGTTAAACAGCGCATTCCTAACACATCTCTGTCTCGGGACTTTCCTCTTTTCAATTCTAACCGATTGTCTGTTTTCAATGTTATAGGATTTCAGAATATGATTAAAATATGGCATATTTTATGCTGTGATTAGCTATTCATAAGAATATCCTAAACCCATACATAGTTTTATATATATTACTTAAATTATAATCGATAAACTGAGTGAACTAAGACTTATCGCGTTATGATGAGAACTTATTAAGTACATAATGATAATTGTCATCGGTCTGGTGGATATTGTTGAGTTTCCGTGAAATCATGAGCTGATCAGTGTTAGACTGCCATCGGGAAGCTGGACAGCCTTTCCGTCCCACTATGGGACTCGCTCACGACCCCCAACAGCCTGGGAATCGAACTCAGAAACTTTGGTAACGCGCGCCAACACTTAACGTCTTGACTATTGTACCTGCGTCTAACATGAATCAATCCTTCGGTAGCCAACTGTCTCACACCCGACACGGTTGGACAGCAATGGTCACGGCTTCTCACTAGATAACCGAGAATTTCCTCAGGAAACTAGTCACTAGTAAGCATATAATAATTATCAGTATAAGGTTGTGGAGATTGTCAGGTTTCGACTCCCGCTCGCGTGGTCATAGATACTGATGATGCCACTGATAAGTCCCATACTAAGACGAAACATTGATTAGCTGATGACATCAATGAAAAGTAACTGTTTCAACGACACAATGTTAAAATTAAATACGAAGTTAATCATAGTTTCAAAATAATAATAAAAAAAGTAAGTGATCGAACTGAAAAATATATTGATTTATATTTTTAAAAAAAATTTGTTCTTTTATTTCATTTTGTTAGGGGATAAACAACTATTTATATTCTAATCATAGCCTTTCACATATTCAGCAATAGACCAATCACATTTCAAACGTAATGGACCATTAATGTGTACGCCTTCTTTATTTACAATAGCTAATTGATAAGTATCGAATGCACTAGTGCACAAGAAAAGAGAAAAAACAACCAAAGATTAAATATTCACACATGTATAATGATATTATAAATAAAAAGTAATAATAATAATTATTATTAGTGTTAAAATATTCACAATTCTAGAGAATAAAGCAACGTTTTACAGTTAGACATTCACACCGTTGGAGGCCAAATCAATGAGGTCTAGAGGTGAGTCGTTTAAACGTATCAATCAATCGACCAATCAATAGCAACGTAGAACTTCGTACACACATACATCAGTTCATGTTGCTATACCACTTTAGCACAGAGATGCAATTGTCAATTTAAATCCAATCGCAGAAGAGGTAGTAAAGGTATTAGCAATAGTCGGAGAGGTTAGGATTAGAAGATATTAGTCAAGAAGTGGAATCTAGTGAAAGAAACTTAAAACGAAAAAGGTAAAGGCAATGAGGAACTCCGAATGTTAGAATTTGAGAGAACACACTGAATGAATGCACCTGCATCATTGCAAACGGTTTTGAGCCATGTTATTCAGGGTCTCTAACCATGGATTATTATCATCTCGCGGACTCCAACCAGGTAGTCGACATCTACCAACATGACTCAGTCCATCTAAACATAGATGCTGCAGACTGTCCCTAGTATCTGTTCAGTGAGCCACAACGACACCTTAAGATTCATCTGTCTAACAGTTTCAAACTTTGACTACTTACTACATTTATGAAATTACTTTAAATGAAATTGAAATAGTCCAAAAATAAAAAAACATTCGAATTATTTACCGGCAATCTCGTAAGTATAACTGCTTCATTGCACTTGTTATTGTAGCGATAGCATCTTCTTCTGTGATATTTTTTGGATCTTCGTTTGCTCTTATTTCTAAACATTCTCTAAGAATAGGAATTGCAAAGTATGCACCAAATCCAGTTGCAACATAATTTTCACTAAATGCTATAAAGATGATGAATAATAATATAGATTGAAAAATGTAAGAGTTAGTTAGTTAGTTGTAACGTAGAACTTCATACGTGTGTACATACGTGTTCATGTTGCCATACCACATTATTAGCACAGAGGCGCAAATGTCAAATCAAATCTCATAGCGATAAAGATAGTAGAGGTATTAATGGTAATGAAGAAGACTAGGGTGCGAAGATATTATTCAAAAAATATAATTCAGTGAGATAAGGTTAGAAAGACAAAGGTAGAGGTGTTGAATAATCTAGAAGATTAGGATTTGATAGAACACAAAGAATAAATACACCGGCGCCATCGCGAACGATTTTGAGCCATGTCATTCAAGGTCTCTAAGCATCGATTATTATTATCTCGCGGACTCCAACCAGGTAGTCGACAGTTACCGACATGGCTAAGTCCACTAGTCAATGACTTCATGGATTTCTGCCATGTTTTGATTTGGCCGCCCCTAACTTTCTTCCAACCTACTCATACACTACAAAACAAAGCTCCACAAGGCAGTCGGTGGTTAGGTTTACGCAACACATGTCCCAACCACCTCAACTGATGAAGTTCCACCACTTCATTTATTGATCTGCCATTCTTACTTAGCACCCGCTTCCTAATAACAGCGTTGCTCACTCGAAGGTCCCAGGATATACGAGCAATGCTTCGAAGACACCTATGATCGAAAACTAGTAACCTACGAATATCTTCTACTCTCACTGGCCATGTTTCAATGCCATAAAGTAAGACGGAGCGAACTGCTGCGCGGTACACTCGTCCTTTAGACCTACATGGACATTACTTGTAAGAAATCCGAACGATGTTACCAAGGGGCTGGGTTTTAATTGCTAAATTACATCACGTACTGTTTAATGTAAGGGATAACTAAACTGACAGGCTTCATAGAGCGTAAAAAAATCACATAGGGAGAATTGCGCAGCAATTTAGTACAACTCAAAGATTATTTATAAAATAACAGTCTCAACAAACTTCTATTTTCAGTGAGCTGTAACGTTAAACTGCTTACGTAAATACATCAATTCAAGTTGCCATACTACATTAGCACATACAGATCCAATTGTCAACTCAAGTCCAAGTGATAGATCTAGTATAAGTATTAGCGGCAGTAGAAGAGATCAGGATTCGAAGACATGATTCAAGAAGTTTAATCCAGTGAAATAAATTTAAAAGGAGAGAAAAAGTGATCATGAGGAATTTTGAAGGTTCGAATTTTGGGGAAGATAAATAATGAATGCACTTCTGCTATTGCAAACGATACTTCTGTTTCTACTTTAGCATTTTTACATTTCTGCCTGAATTACGGTATGGTTGGACTTATTGACTGTAGCAAGTTTGTGGAAAAAATATTGAATCCACTAACAAGACAGGAGGAATAGATGGAGCACTGGGGTGTGTGTGTGTACAAAAAACATTTGAGCAGTTCAACATTAGATTCGAATTCACACGAATTGTGACTTACAAACACCAAGCATATTACAATATCCAACGAACGGCTCGCCATTTGCTTCTAAACCTCCAACTATGTAGGTGTTCCATAACGGTTGCAAACGACTTCGACGATTATAAAGAATACGTGTGATCCAGCTGTGAAGAGCATGAGGGCTAGAAAGAAGGATGATCAAGAAGCTAAGAGATGTACCTCAGATTAAAGCCGTCGGAAAGGAGGCTATCTTGATGAGTTAGCTCTTGAATATGATGTTTGAGGAATTGGAAATCTGCCACATCACCACTGCAGCACATAACTGTGCTTTGATTTACCTGTTGAAATTAGTTTTAGTTTGAAACATAGTTTACTTGAAACATGCGTTCGAAATCCATGTATTTGGCTAAGGAGCCATATGAAACTAACATATCAGCAGCTAGAACAACCCCATCCCGATATTTAATGCCAATAACAGATGTTCCCGTGCATATTGGGGTCATAGTATGATGTTTATAATCCGCAGGTACATCTGTAGAACTCTCAGGAAACTTAACTTGTAGCGAATCCATACACTAAGTAATGTTGCGTGTATATTTGGATACACCGCGAAAAAGCACTTCACTGTACATGGATATTTCCAATATAACTGAAGGCGACAGAATTTTACTAGAAACTTGTAATATAATCATAGTTTTCTGGGGTAATTAAAAGTATTTTCAAGCGACATAGGTTTTAGTTGTAAGGAGCGCGTATGAATATTCTGGCTGTGCGTTATTTCAAACAGACTATTTTCTGGTCTGGTCGGCACGTTGATATGTATTAGTGGTCATACTGCTGGTATGGATGGGATTTCTTATTTATAAACTGCATGGAGCCTAATAATATAAATGTGAAACCTGAACCACTGTTTAATAACTTACCCACTGGACTGATATATCCTATTTCTATTCACAATCCCGGTAATAATCATTTGAATCCTTCATCTGCTGTTCTCCAAGATGATTCTTTACCAACTTCGAACTCCATTTGTATATCTTCAGTCGATTTTTCGCTTAACGATTCTGACAAGTTGGATAATTCGATAACAGTATGTTTGGCATCACAAACAAAAGATGGATTTTATTCAGAGTCGGATCAAAGCATCCATAATTCATTTTGTAGTTCAACAGACTCAAACACAAAACCTTTATCTATTCATTGTGTTCAGGAGTCATCAAATGTCTTCTCCACCCAGTCTTCACTTCCCTCCCTCAGTTCTGAATTTCAGGTTCCAAATCTCCCGAACGAATGCTCGCATAAACTCCCTGTACATACAGCTGCTAAGCCTAGTGAGGCATTATTTGTTCGAGCCTTAATTGGCCGTTGCAAACGTATTGCTCCTTTATGGTTTCGGGGTGTTTCTTCAATGCGTGAACGCAATCGAGAAGAAAACCGTCGTATGGCATGTAACAGTGGCCAAAGCCAAAGTGATTGGAGTCTCATAGCATTAAAAATCGGGGTGAGTGTTTGCTATCTGTGCATATTAGTGCATATTTTTACTTCCACATGATAATAAATGAGGTTTAATTACATGTTATTTCAGGTATTATTATTGACAAGCTAGCCTTTGTTTATATTGTCACTCATTTAAGCTTCTTGTTATACTGTGGCTCACTTTTATAGCATCATTTTTTTGTCCTTATTTGTCAAGGTTTATAGGTAATGCTCCTATGTACTTAGCCTTAAATTAAATAGTTTGGACGTTTTTGGTTTTAGGAGCTAGTCACAATTTCTTTCTCTGACATCGGCATCATTCTGATATGAGTCACAACATAATGTATCTTCTTTTTACTTACTAAGTGTCATTCGTCAGTAACTTCATTGTTGTCCTTAAAATATGCATTTGCTGCTCTGAAAATAACTTTATAACTTTTGTCGATCTGATGTATTTTATGGCATAATTTAAATGTTATTAAGGAGACTGATTTGCTACAAACAAGTTTCAACTCATCGATGCTATTGACGTGTATGTTTTGAGTAATTAGTCTTTACGTTTTTCGCATTAGTCATTCTCCAGCTTAATCTGTATGGCCTGGGGAGTGGCAGCTTAGAAGCGGTCATCCTATATGTTTTCGATTCATTATTGTTTGTGTTGATTAAAAATGATAAAAAATGCCTTGTTTCGGGCAGCAATTTTGTAGAGATTAGCTTCTCGAATTTCAAATTAAACTGCTTAACTCGTAGTACGTTTTCCTGGCTTTCACTTGCACCCTCCTCCAGAATTAGCATAATAGGACCTGGAATAGTGTTTTGATGTAACTATGCGTTTTTGAGTTTTTTTTTATGAACTAGACATTGTTTCATTAAGTCCAAGGTTTTCCGTTTATCATTTTGCTACCATGTAAGTAGTCTCAAGGAACTGATGATCAATCTCATCTTATATACATTATGAACAACTAAAGTTGCTAGAGTTTGTCAATAAGAACAGTGGCTTCATGCTGCTCTACACATTTAGTAAAGTCCCAATGATACCAGTGTACAGCTCCATAATATGTTATCTATCTGTTGAATTATGTAAAAGTAGACTAAAACTTAGGTGTTTTGATTACATCATGGGATTTGAACTCAAAAGGTTATTTTTAAGATTACCTGTTACCCTTAGTGACGCATAGGTTGCCGATCAGCATTCTCCAGTCTCTCTCATTAGCTTTCCTTTCCAGTTCTACCGAATCGCTGTTCATTCTTTTCGTATCTGCTTCCGATTCTCGGCATAATGTTCTCTTTGTTCGTGAAGATTCTAAGTTATGGCTTGCCTTGTCATGCAGTTAGGTGTTTTCCTCAATATGTCCTATCCACCTCCAGTGCGTCCTAATTTCTTCCTTAACTGGAATTTGCTTTGTTCCCTGTTACAGTAGGTTGTTACTGGTGGCTGGTCAACTTATTCGCAGTATCTTGTGTAGACAGCTTCTCTCTCCTACACTTGTATCTTTTGAATGATGGCTTTTGTAGTTCCCTAAGCTTCCGCTCCATGCAATAGAATTGTCATGACGTCTGTACTAAAATTTGTGACTTTGGTGTTGGTTTACAGTTGTTTGTAGCTTCAGATCTTCGTCGATTGTAGAAATGCTGCTCCTGCTCTCTCAATCTGCATCATCAGATCCATATACATCAGATCCACTTTGTTTATCAGTGATGTCGTTTAGGTATGTAAAGGTTTCCAGAGCTTCTCCATCAAGAGTTATTTAGTTGGTGCATGTGTTTTATCGGAGTATCTTGCTGTTTTTCCTTCTGTATGGTGAGACCTACTGCTGCAGAGGCTATTGCTACACTGGCCGTCTTCACCTGGATTTATTGCTGTGTGTATGATAGAATAGCTAGGTAATCTGTTAAGTTCAAATCGTGTAGCTGCACCCAAGTTCTTTATTATATTCTTTGCTTCTCTCCAGATGTTGAGGCCTTCATAATCCAGTCAATCACAAGGAAAAAGAGAAAGGGTTAGAGTAAGCAACCTTATCTAGCATCGGTTTTCACTTGGAATTAGTCTGTTAGCTACTCTACAGGAAGGATTTCGCAGTTTAATCCATCATTAGAATTCCGTATGATGTTGAATATCTTATCAGGTATATCGTAGTGTCAAAGAAGCCTCCATAATGTCATTCTGTCCATACTGTCGAATGCTTTCTTGTAGTCAATGAAGTTAATGTACAGTGATGAATTCTATTCAATTGGTCGTTCCACAATGATCCGTAGTATCGCAATTCGGTCAATACATGATCAATCCTTACGGAATCCCTCCTGCTAATCTCCGAGTGTAAGTCTACGTCGCCTTTCGTTGGATTAAACAGCACTCTGCTGAAATATATCCTGGTATTGAGAGAACGGTGATGCCTCTGTATTTCTCACCATTCAGATATTCATACACATATGATCTTTTCTTGGTTAAATAGGTCAGCCGCCCTAATCTTCTCTATTACTGCTAATAATTCAACTATCGCTATCACTCTTGGATTTGAACTGACAGTTGCGTCTCTGTGCTGATGGGGCATGGCAACCTGAACTGATGTACTTACGTACGAAGTTCTGCGTTGTATCTGTCTGTCTGTCTGTCCGCCTACTGTTTAGATCATGACTGGGCGGTTAGTCTTAGGGAAATGAATTATGTAGGGTCAGACTCGGACATTTAACATCCCAACAGAGGGGTGAAAATATCGAGAAATCAAGACATAAATAATGGTTGGTAAAAGTAACTATCACGAGCTAAGTACCACCGACTGCCTCGTCGAGCTTTGTTTTGTGATGTAGGAATAGGTTAGAAGAAAGTTAGGAGCGGCCAAACCAAAACATGGCAGAAATCCACGAAGTCATTGACGAGTGGACTGAGCCATGTCGGTAGTTGACGACTACCTGGTTGGGGTCCGAGAGATGATAATAATCGATGGTTAGAGACCCTGAATGACATGGCTCAAAATCGTTCGCAATGGCGCCGGTGCATTTATTGTTTGTGTTCTCTCAAATGCTAATCTTCTGGATTCTTCAACCCCTCTAGTTTTGACTTTCTAAACTCTTCTCACTAAATCATACTTCTTGAATATTATCTCATCCTAATCTCTCCGATTACTTCTAATACGTTTACTACTTCTAGTACTGTTGGATTTGAATTGACAATTACATCTCTGTGCTAATGTGGTATGGCAACATGAACTGATGTACATACGTACGAAGTTCTACGTTGCATCTGACTGACTGACGAGCAAAGTAAAGCATCGTTTTTGGCTTCCACACCTGTGATTATATTATGCAAGCATTGTTGAATTTGTTTGAAGTCATCATTATTGATGTTTTTGACATAATTTCCAACACCAATCTTAACTGTTCAGATAACGCATTCGTTTTTGACGTTCATATCGTTTGTGTATACATTAAAATAGTTATTTTAGAATATGATATCAAAGATTTAAGAATACTTCTATTTGCATAATCTCTCTGTTGACATATTTCTACCATTTGGGCAATAATGATAACTCAATGAGTTACAACTATGTCTAATAAGGTTCGGAATCTTCCGTCTTATTTGATATCCATACTGACATGTCTGTCATGGAAGAATCATAAGGAATAATTATTTCAATGCATTACTCGGTCTAGCCGAGGATGATAGTAAAATCCAATCACTGTATCAAGACAACGTTTACCGTCTTGGGAAGATAGCAGTATTTAATCCACTCTCTCCATTCTTGTTTAACTTTGTCGTAGACATCCTCTAAGAGTTAACATTAAGCTCGTCAGATTTTTCAGGGGTTGACCTTCTACCAGGAAAGTCGCTTACTGATCTAGAATATGCCGATGACATAGTTCTATTCGGTGAAGACGCTGACGAAATGCAGAGTCTTCTGATTACCCTAAGCAACAATGCAAGCATGTTCGGGATGCGGTTCTCACCCTCGAAATGCAAAATGTTGCTTCAAGACTGGGTTGCATTGGCACCTGAACTAGTGATAGGGAGTGAAGTAGTCGAGCGTGTTAAACACTTCACTTATCTGTGGAGTCTCATCAGCGCTGATAGCCTGGTGACTGACGAAATCTCAGCGTGGATGCAGAGGGCTCGATTGGCTTTTGCCAACCTGCGTCACTTATGGCGTAGGCGTGATATCCGTTCGCTAACCAAAGGACGGGTGTACTGCGCCGCAGTTCGCTCCGTTCTCCTATATGGATGCGAAACATGGCCGTTAAGAGTAGATGTTCGTAAGTTACTAGTCATAGATGTTTAAGAAGCATTGCTCGTATATCGTGGGAAACCGAGTAAGCAATGCTGTCGTTAGGAAACGAGTACTAGTTAAGGATGGCTGATCAATAGATGAAGTGGTGAAACATCATCAGTTGAGGTGGATGGGACATGTGTTACGTATGTCTAACCACCGACTGCCTCGACGAGCTATGTTTTGTGGTGTAGGAATAGGTTGGAAGAAAGGTAGGGTCGGCCAGACTAAAACCTGGTAGTAATCCATGAAGTCACTGACAAGTGGGCTGAGTCATGTTGGTAGATGTAGACTACCTTGTTGGGGTCCGCGAGACGAAATTCACCAATGGTTAGAGACCTTGAACAACGACATGACTCAGAATCGTTTGCAATGGTGCAAGAGCGTCGATTCGTTGAGCTCTCTCAAATCCTAATCTTCTGGATTCGTCAACACCTCTACCTTTGTCTTTCTAAACTTATTTCACTGAATTATACTTCTTGAATAATATCTTCGAACCCTAGTGTTCTTCATTACCAATAATACCTCTACTATCTTTATCACACTATGGGATTTGATTTGACATTTGCGTCTCTGTGCTAATAATGTGGTATGGCAACATGAACACTGATGTACATACGTACGAAATTCCACGTTGCAACTGACTGACTACAGTATTTGATTTGAATGAATTATTTTTCTCTGTTGATCACAAGTTAACTATTGAAAACATAAAGCTCAACTTTCATTGTACTTTTTTTATTTATTTAAGGAAATGAATGCTGGCAGTGAAACGGATGCTATATCAAATTTACTTAAAAAATTATATAAAGAGTTGCCTAGTGATTCAGTATTTTGGTTTCTTAAATGTTGGCTTGGCAGTGAAGATACTTTGAATGATCCACATTCTTGTGTTATAAGTCGTGGTGATGCTAAAGGTCGTATGCGACGTATTGATGGTGGGAAAGGTTCTGATAAAGTAAGTCATTTTTTTCTATCTGACCCTCTTTTTTTTAGTAGAAAAATATCAGGATTAAGGTGTTTTTGACCTTCAGCCATTAAGTGTCCCAGGTTCAAACTTTGTCCCGCTTGCTTGCTGTTGTTTGAGCAACTGTATAGTTATAGTATTCTTGGCGCTTTCACAACTGTAATGTGGCTCATACATAAAAGTGCATGGAAAATCAGTTTATTCATTCATCAATTAGAATATATGAAAACGGAATGTAACCATCAGTTTCTACTGTTCACAGGGATGATTCCTATCTATGCATTTTGTGCTTTCTGAATAATAATCCCTAAGGAGGATGTTGATCAAGTAGTGGTCATATACTACTGTGGGATTCAAATTTCGCTGTTACGGGTATGAGGGCGGTTATCACTTCCCGGCTGCCCACACCGTGGAAGGTTGATTCTTGAGGGACCTGAAATAGAAGATAGATTAGTGTTGGTCTTAGAGACCTGGGTGCGTGACCGCAGAGTCCAAGGGACAACTGCTTAAGGTCGGTCACGCACGGCCTTTTTATGAAAGGTATTTTGAGGATTAGCTCCGTTCTTAAAGGCCCTTAGTGGACACCCTTACCCAAGGTGACAGAAATCCGTGAGGTAGGGGAGGTGTGACATTCTTAGGGCCGACCTTTTCTAACCCTTCCTTCCTTGTGATGAGAAGGCAGCATCGCTGCAGATGCTGGTTGTCGGAGGGAAACACCTTATTGCTTTCACACCCCTCTGCAGTCAGCAGTACGACTTCGCCCTCAGACATGGAGTAGCTGCTTTTATTCTCATCGTTCTCCAATCGACCTGCCTGGCATGGTAGGACCTTCAGGAACATATGTTTCAGCCAATATAGCTCGGTTGGGTCATCACGATAGGCAAGCCCGACCACCACGTCAAGGTAGCAACTTCGGTCGGGATTCAAATTGACAAGTGCACGTCTGTGTGAATGTGGTATAGCGACTTGAACTGATGTATTTACTTAAGAAGTTTTACATTATAGCTGAGTGACTGACTGAGAAGAATGAAGATTCGCATTTCAGATAGATGCTACTGGCGTTGTTGAGTTTTTTTTTGAGAGTTATATAATTTAGTTGCAGAGCTTTCTGAACGACTTTATCACAGCTAAGTTGTTATACAAGAAAGTTTACACAACTCCGCGGACCCCAACCAAGTAGTCTACACCTAGTAGTTACCTCCTGGCTCAGTCCACTTGTCAGTGACTTCATGGATTATTTGTGCCATGTTTTTGGTTTGGTCGCCACTAGATTTCGTCTAGCCTTACCCCTACATCACCAAATATAGCTCTTTGAAGTAGTCATTGGGTGCGCATGCATAACACATGTCCCAACCACCTCAACTGATAAAGTCTCACTACTTCATCTATGTATGTGCCATCCCTAGGTAGTACCCATTTCTTAACAACAGCATTGCCCTTTAAGGGTGGTAGATTTTATTTCATATCTAATGACATTCAATCCTATTCAACATGATGGTTGGTGTACAACAGTTATTATTATGTAACCTCTTACTTATATTTGATTGTTTCTTTGAAGAAAGATCAAATTTGATGATTAAGTAAGGATAACATCAAAGTTGTTTAATTTCAATCTCAAAGATTTCGGTGTAAATATGTTTTAATAAAGAAAAATGTGTAGTTACTTGTTTCTTGCTTATTCAAACTTTTTCATCTATAAATTCTATTGTTGTTATTTTATTAGGTTTGGCGATTAGACACCATTGTTGGTATGCTGTATCATGGTTTACCAATGTCCAGTACCGATACCAATATCATGGTGCATACATGTGATCATGAATTGTGTGTTCGACCACAGCATATACGATTTAGAGCTAGTTCTGTAGCACTTGTTGTCGTGTTGAAAGCATTAGCTCAAGCTGGTTACACTATTATTCCACCATCAATGCCTACTATCAATTCAAATGGAATTGTTCCGAAAGGTTAGTCATATGTTGATAGTAGTAGTTTTATGTTTATTTACAGTCTTATTTGATTTAAACACAAACACTGATTCCAAAGGAGCACCTAAATATTTACGCACCTCACGAAGTCGTTAATTTATAAATGGGCTGAGATACTGCCCGGATGTCTGAGACGAAGCAGCTTGCTTTCTTATCGGGTCACTCTTCAAATCTTTGACCAAGAAGCCTAGTCCACAAAGCAGTGGAGTGATAGTAGCGGGCGACCTCCATTAGGTTCTATTGTAACGCTTGCTTAGATATTTCCTGGCTAATTTCTATTGCTTAGTATTCTCTGACCACATAATACACTGGACAAGTTCCAAAGAATCAAAAACACACGGTTGAACAGGAAAAGATTATATTCCAAATAGCAAGGTTAAATGGAAATAAGAAGCCAAAGGTGATGGCGAAGGCGAAGAAGGCAAAAATAGATACAACGTTAGTTTATTTATAGCATTTACATGAGAAAGCTTCTGGATAGAAATTCATGTGATCGAATGGATTAGATTTAACCGATCAGCACGCAGCTAACAATACGAGAATCTTCTACCCTGTTCTCCAAGAATCGATCAGGCGCTGATTGGATAGGAAATTAGTCAATCAGCGCGCAGGAACGTAGTCATGCTTTAATTCCATCTATGTCCCACTAACAGGTTCATACATCATTCGTTCTCTCAGGATTGTGGCGCTCATGTACACGATTAGTTAGGAATGTAGGTTTTCCAATTCTCCTAGGTGGATGTTTACATACCCACCAACCCGAATTAAGTAAGTCCCAGTTGAATATTCTCTGTTCATCCCCTCATTTTTGTACACAACACCAGTGTCACGAGAAGGCAATAAGTAGGACTTACCTGAAAGTGGCTTTATATGCGTGGCTATGTAAGAGTATTTGAAGAGAGGGAGAGAGAGCAAACTCCTCTTACTTTCAGTCATACCAGCGCATTTGGGGGCAAATTATGACACTGCACTGAACTAGTGCAGTGTTTAGGAAGTAGTAGTAATTGTCTAATATTGCAACAGGGTAGTCAGAAGACTCTGCATTTTATCAGCGTCTTCACCAAGTAGGACTACGTCATCAGTATATTCTAAGTCATCAAGTGTGTCGCCTGGTAAAAGGTCCACTCCTGAATAGTCAGACGAAGATAATGTTAACTCTAAAAGCACATCTATGACAAAGTTAAACAAAAATAAAGAGAGTGGACACCACTTGAACTAAAGAATTTTGATAACAATTCTTCATAATCTCTCACTCGATCAGTGGTGTTCGAGTAGAGAGCTTGTATAAGGTTAATGTACTTCTTTGGTACATCTTTTAATGACAGACACTGCCACAAAACCTCACGACTAACAGAGTCAAATGCCGCCTTAAGGTCGAGCAATACTACTATTGTGGAGTGTCTGAACGTGTGTCTTTGTTCTAGGACCTGTCTGAGTGTGAATATTTGGTCTATACATCCACGTCCAGGTCTGAAACCAGCCTGGTTTTCTCTCGAATTCTAATCTTCTGAATTCTTCATCACCTTTATTTTTCTCTTTTTATATTAACTTCACTGGATTAAATTTCTTGAATCAAATCTTCACTCACTCATCTTTCTGATTACCGCTAATACTTCTACTACATCCACACTACTTTGGCATTTGAATGGACAATTCAATCTCTGTGTGCTGATATGATATGGCAGACAATGGCGACCGTCTGTTGCAAGTATGCTTAGACAACCGCCTATTCTTAGCAAACACTAACTTTAGGCATAAGGAAAAGCATCTTTTGACCTGGCGACCTCCAAAGTCGTCTCAACATTGGACGCAACCAGATCACATCGCTATCAGACACCAATGGAGGGGTTCGACAGAGGACTGTCGCTCGTTCTGGGGCACATGTTTAGATTCAGATCATGCCCTAGTGCGAGCGCGTATTTGTTTGAGGCTTACTGGACGTAGGAAAGACACCGTAAGAAAGCCTCTTAGGGTTTTACTTAATGATAATAGGGCAAAGAATATATTTCAGGAACAACTAGAAAGACAGTTAGGCGACCATTTAAGCGATTCCCATCCGGAGGCAGGTTGGTATGATATCAAAAAGGCTGTGGAAACAGCAGTGATATCTGCTAGTAAGGTTGACCATAAGGTGGTTGGGACATGTGTTGCGTATGCCTAACCACCGACTGCCTCGTCGAGCTTTGTTTTGTAGTGTAGGAGTAGGTTGGAAGAAAGTTAGGGGCGGCCAAACCAAAACATGGCAGAAATCCATGAAGTCATTGACGAGTGGACTTAGCCATGTCGGTAATTGTCGACTGGTTGGGGTCCGCGAGATGATAATAATCGATGGTTAGAGACCTCGAATGACATGGCTCAAAATCGTTTGCAATGTCGCCGGTGCATTTATTCTTTGTGTTCTCTCAAATCCTAATCTTCTGGATTCTTCAACACCTCTAGTTTTGACTTTCTAAACTTTTCTCACTGAATGATGCTTCTTGAATAATATCTTCTAATCCTGACCTCTCCGATTACTTCTAATACCCTTACTACCTCTTCTACTGTTGGATTTAAATTGACAATTATATCTCTGTGGTGATATGGTATGGCAACATGAACTGATGTACGTACGTATGAAGTTCTACGTTGCATCTGACTGACTGACTGACTTGTATGTATGTACCACATGTTCTACGTTGTCGTTGACTGACTAACTGACTAACTGATTGTCTCTCGACTTTTTCTACCCCATCCTAACATTTGCGAATAAAATTCATGTTTCGAAATAAACTTTAACAACTTGTTTAAATTAATTAGTTTAATATTCAATCTTTTTCTAGCTTAGAAAAAATATATCCAAATTAAAAAGAGTGCGCTACTTGTGTTTTTTCTTGTTACCGTTTTTTTTCTGCTGTGTGTGTGGTTAATCCATTGTTCGTACTTTTAAGAAGTGTAACTTATTACGTAATCATTTCGTTGTCATATTGTTTCAATTGCTTTTCTTCAACTTCTTTTTTTTTTAAAAAAAATCTAAGCTTGTTTGCATTTTAAAATGTACTGACTGGAAATATTCTCTGTCACGAAATGCAAAATCGATAGCTTACTTACTTAATTACCTTACTTTACTGAGTCGTGGTTTTTTTTTTTAAATCAAAAAAATCCATCTTGTAGGTTGTTTAACCAGTAAAAGTATCATCTTACTCTGATGACCTTGAATGAACCAATCCGAATTGTGATAACGCCTAATATTATTTTGCGCGGAATTTAAAGTGCTGTAGTAAATAATTATGTATTGACGAAGTTAGAAATTGGCCATAGTTGGTCCTTAAAACGCATGAAATCAACGGGAATCTTTATTACGAAATAAAAGATTAAATTCAGTCAATGGAAGATTTGATTGTGACTGATTTGGTCTCATTTACTTTTATTGATACAAGGGCGGTTGTCACTTCCTGTCTGCCTTACACTGTGGAAGGGTGCTTCCTGAGAAAACTGGAAAGAAAATCGGGTTAATGTTAGTCTAAACGATCTGAGAGCGCACAATTGTTTGATGCCGGTCACGCACGAGCTTTTTATGCAAAGATTGTATAGTGTTAGCTCCGCTCTTCAAAAGGCCGTACCGCCGGAGACGGAAATCCATGGGTTCACACCTTGAGTGAATTTGAGATGCTGCTTTAGCTAAATTACAAAATACAATTGTCCTCAAGGCGAATTGTATGTTCAAGTATTTGTTGTGATTCAATGAGTAGTCAAAAGTGTTTAGTGAAGTGAGATACTGTTTTCCCTTTCTAACACTTACTTTAAATCTTAACTATAAATCTCTTAAATTTGTAAACATCAGAAAAAACCCGTAAACCTAATTTGAAACGTTAGAATCCAAACTTCAGCTTAACTTTTACTGCCTAACCTTAACCTTTTAGCATCATTCAGTGACGAAACTTATTTTGCTAAAAGGGAATAATTCATTATATGAAGGTGTTAAGTAATTCAACTTAGAACTGCTATTCCACTGGTTTTTTCCTTGTTAATTGTAGGGAGAGTCTCCTGGTTGGTTGGTTGATTGCTCAAGGTCGTCAGCATAGTCAGTATACTTTTACTGTTTAGTTATTACTAATAAGTGTTAGATGTCCCATGACACTAGCTAGTCATTTTCGTCAATGACTGAAGTGCAATCGTGATAGCTCTTATATATCTGAATTTGTTTATCTATGTAAATGTGTATGTGTGTATGTGAGGCTGTAGGGCTATCAGATTCCGAATCAGTGATCTGAATGTTGTATACTGCTATTGAATACGCAGCTTACATAACGTCATTTTCTGTGCAATAACCATAAGCGTGGGTGCATACTGTTGCAAGAAGAATTACCGAGCAAATTTCCGGTGCAGTTCGTCTTTCAGTTCCTTATTTTAAGCCTGAAATCTCTTCACAATAAAAACTACATTATAATTGGATATTCTGGTTAAGGAGATTGTAGCGTACAGCTTATCTTCTTTCTAGGATAACTGATATGTAGTTGACGATTTTGATTATGTTACTTTTTCTTGCTTTAAAGTATTTCTCATTAAGATAATTCGTTTAACGATTATATTTTCGATTTTGACCTTTTGGCGTGGTGTAGCTACTACTTAAACTGTGATACCTGTTTATCTTAGGCTGTACATTGATTGTGACTGACCGACTTACCAAAGTAAAACGTTAATCACGTGTTCACATTACTTTTACTATTAATGATCAGATGAAGATGTTAATTCGTTTGAAGGTAGATGGAGAAAACCCTGGGTCTAGATTTTGTGCAAGTTGACTCTCATCAGCAATAAGTGCTTGGAATAATGAGGAAATCGATGGTTCGTGTAGAATTCGGACTCTTTTGACTCCTTCCTAATCTGAAGCACCGGCAGTAAACCATTGAGACTATAAATAAGCCTCTCAGGTTCAGCGTTTCCTGCCAATTACCTTCAATCAGCCAACGTAGTCTAAACAATGTCAAGTCATATTGTAATGATCGAAGACGTTCAATACCAGGTTGAATCAGTGATTTATTCGAAGATGACACAGTTTATTGGCAAAATGTGTGTACACTTTATCATCAAACTACCATTACACATTGAAATCATCAACCAATCATTGTTAGAGCATCATAAGAAACCTGGAAGCACCGGACGGCCATTTCGTCCTGGTATGGGACTCATCACCGGTGCTCATCCACGATTCCTGCACCTCGCAGGATTCGAACCCAGGACGTTCTGTTCTGCGTGCGAACGCCTAACCTTTGGACCACTGAGCTTGTGGCATCCAGCGGTGTCGATGTCTAACTCTGATCAATCTAGGGATTTTGCTTGACCTCACCTATTTAACTTCGGTAGTAGTTACTGCCTACACCCGACAGGGTTGAACTCCGCTGGTCACGTCTTCTCACTAGAATAATGATTGATTGATGATTTCAGTGTGTAAAAACACTAATCTCTTTACTGTTTTCTCGTCTTTAGATCACTTTACACACGCCATATATCTGGAACCCGACACTCTTCACTTTAGCAATAACGTCTGCGTGACACTTCACTACATTCTACTCATAAACCATGTTGCTAGTAGTATACATCACAGTATCACAATGTGATTGATGGAATTCACTCAGCTCATTTTTCACTAATCAGGTGTCTATCATATGCTCTGTTTCGTTTCTTATTAAAACAATAATAGTTTTATCATCTTATTCTAGTTTTTTCTTTTATTGTACCTTCCCCGACTTTTTTTATCACTATAATTTAGTACCGGATGAATATGTGGATGTGTTTGGACCTTTTTCCATTGAACAACTTCAACAATACAGAACTGGTAAGTTGTAATGGTATTTCCTCTCTGTCTGTCATTGAGAGAAGAAAAACTGTAATCCAACTTAACTTATGGTTCTGATAGAGTATTTTTCGACTTGACAATATCATCTCTCTCTATGCTGACTGTGGGACATGGCAACTTGCATTACAACTGAATGATTGACTTGTAGAGCATATACATATAACTCTTAGTGATGT